GGTGAGGAGGTGGTGAGGAGGTGGTGAGGTGGTGGTGAGGATGTGGTGAGGAGGTGGTGCTGGTGAGGTGGTGAGGAGGTGGTGGTGGTGAGGAGGTGGTGAGGAGGTGGTGCTGGTGAGGTGGTGAGGAGGTGGTGAGGAGGTGGTGCTGGTGAGGAGGTGGTGAGAGTGGAGGAGGTGGTGAGGTGGTGGTGAGGAGGTGGTGAGGAGGTGGTGAGGAGGTGGTGAGGAGGTGGTGAGGTGGTGGTGAGGAGGTGTTGAGGAGGTGGTGAGTAGGTGGTGGTGAGGAGGAGGTGGTGAGGAGGTGGTGAGGAGGTGCTGGTGGTGGTGAGGTGGTGAGGAGGAGGTGGTGAGGAGGTGGTGAGGAGGTGGTGAGTAGGTGGTGCTGGTGAGGTGGTGGTGGTGGTGGTGAGGAGGTGGTGAGGAGGTACCCAGCACACGGCAGACATCGTCACAGTTCTGAGCGATCTCGTGGAGCCAACGCTTCACGTTGACAAACGACTCGGCGTTGGTGACGTCGTAGACCACGATCACACCGTGCGTACCTCGGTAGTAGCTACACACACAGAGACACACAGACACACACAGACACGGTGAGACACACAGAGACACGGTGAGACACACAGACACACAGAGACACACAGAGACACGGTGAGACACACAGAGACACACACAGACACACAGAGACACGGTGAGACACACAGAGACACACACAGAGACACACGTTGACAAACGACTCGGCGTTGGTGACGTCGTAGACCACGATCACACCGTGCGTACCTCGGTAGTAGCTACACACACAGAGACACACAGACACACACAGACACACACACAGAGACAAACAGAGACACACAGAGACACGGTGAGACACACACAGAGACACGGTGAGACACACAGAGACACACACACACACAAAGAGACACACAGAGACACACAGAGACACGGTGAGACACACAGAGACACGGTGAGACACACAGAGACACAGTGACACACACAGAGACACGGTGAGACACACACACAAAGAGACACACACACAGAGACACACGTTGACAAACGACTCGGCGTTGGTGACGTCGTAGACCACGATCACACCGTGCGTACCTCGGTAGTAGCTACACAGAGACACACAGACACACAGACACACACACAGAGACACGGTGAGACACACAGAGACACGGTGAGACACACACAGAGACACGGTGAGACACACAGAGACACACACACACACAAAGAGACACACAGAGACACACAGAGACACGGTGAGACACACAGAGACACGGTGAGACACACAGAGACACAGTGACACACACAGAGACACGGTGAGACACACACACAAAGAGACACACACACAGAGACACACGTTGACAAACGACTCGGCGTTGGTGACGTCGTAGACCACGATCACACCGTGCGTACCTCGGTAGTAGCTACACACAGAGACACACAGACACGGTGAGACACACAGAGACACGGTGAGACACGCAGAGACACGGTGAGACACACAGAGACACACACAGACACACAGAGACACACACAGACACACAGAGACACACAGAGACACACAGACACACACAGACACGGTGAGACACACACAGAGACACACACACACACACAGAGACACAGAGACACACACACAGAGACACACGTTGACAAACGACTCGGCGTTGGTGACGTCGTAGACCACGATCACACCGTGCGTACCTCGGTAGTAGCTACACACACAGAGACACACACACACACACAGAGACACGGTGAGACACACACACACACAGAGACACAGAGACACACAGAGACACACAGACACACACACAGAGACACACAGAGACACGGTGAGACACACACACACACAGAGACACACAGACACACAGAGACACACAGACACACACACAGAGACACACAGAGACACGGTGAGACACACACACACACAGAGACACAGAGACACACAGAGACACACAGACACACACACAGAGACACACAGAGACACGGTGAGACACACACACACACAGAGACACACAGACACACAGAGACACACAGACACACACACAGAGACACACAGAGACACGGTGAGACACACACACACACAGAGACACACAGACACACACACAGACACACACACAGAGACACACACAGACACACACACAGAGACACACGTTGACAAACGACTCGGCGTTGGTGACGTCGTAGACCACGATCACACCGTGCGTACCTCGGTAGTAGCTACACACACAGAGACACACACACACACACAGACACGGTGAGACACACACAGAGACACACACACACAGACACACACACAGAGACACACAGACACACAGAGACACACAGTGACACGGTGATACACAGAGACACACAGACACACACACAGAGACACACAGTGACACGGTGAGACACACGGTGAGACACAGAGACACACAGAGACACACAGATACACAGAGACACACAGACACACACAGACACACACACACACAGACACACAGAGACACACACACACACACAAGAG